TGTCACGGCCCAGCGCTGGGCCCGGGCCCGGCCCCGGGGCTGGCGGGCGGCTGGGGTTTCCTCCCGTCGTCCCCCCCCGGTGACTCCCCGTGTCGTTTCCCTTCCAGGAGCCGGGCACCCCATGAAGCCGCATCGCCTGGCCCTGACCCACAGCCTGGTCCTGCACTACGGGCTCTACAAGAAGATGATCGTAAGCGGTGCTCCTCCTGGGGCTCAACAGGAGCCCCCCAACCTAGGCAGCGGGGGAAGAGGGGGCTGCAGTGGGTGGCTTCGGGCAGGCAGGTATTTCAGGCTTCGGCATGTGTGAAGGGTGCCGGAGACCCGTGCGTCGTCCTGCTGACTTCAGTCGTGGCCTCCACGTTAAGGCTTGGTCAGTGTTAGTACGTTCTTGGCAGCTTTCTTGTGTTGCTGCCTCTCCTTCAGTTCCACTTTTGGCACAGCAGGTAACAGAGTTGTTGCAGACAAGGTTTTAAGCAGTCTCCGGCATTCTCATCGGCCTGAGCCCCCACCATACCACCCAGAGCTGCTTTGAAAGCCACCGCTGTTGGCTGTTAGTGTCTTGTTCAAACGTGTGCATATAGTGTTGTGCCTGGAGGTGCAGCAGTGCCCCTGGGGACCATGCACGGGATTCTGGTGTCTGTAGCCCTTTCTAGAAAGGACCCAGCGACCGCTGTGGACCGTGTGACCGTAGAATAGTAAAGCTCAAAAAAAAAAACCCTCAAGAGGCTTGCTAATTCACCTTGATGCCTTAATGGTGTTCACTAATCCCATCTCATACCTGATTGGTGATTGTACAACCTGTTCTTCAAAGCCTTTGTTGCCCAGCCAGCTCAAACAACTTAGTCCAGAGCTCTCCGGTTCTTACTGCTAGAAAGACTTTCTCCTCCTAAAATCTAGCCTGTGTAAACCTGATAAAACATGATTAGCCTGTAGCCATAATCAAAAAGAAAACTTAAATCTTCATCCTTCAAGAAATGAACTAGTTTGGGGATAGTGGAATATCACTATGAATGTGTGGTACCCCTCTTTTGAATTATTTTATCCCACTTGGTGCAAGTGGGATTGAACGGTGCTCCTTTCCCTACAATCCTTGTTCACTTTTTTTGCCTGTTCTTGCAGCATAGAACAAATGAAAAGCTCTCACAGGGCATGTAACTTAATGCCCCATGATACAAGATCAAGGCAGGAATAGTAAAGTCTTCTACCATTCTGCCCATTTTGATGTACAAAACAAGCCACATGCAGCTGCTGATTGTTCTGGGGCATCTCATTTTGTCTCCTGTTGGCTTATGCTTGCTTTCGGTGCAGTGAGATTGCTTCTGAGCTGTTTCGGACCGTTGAGCAATTTAATTCCTGGGCTGACTGGCACAGTTCCAGGTCATGCTATCTGATCCAGAGGCTGGGTTTAGCTGCTGCCTATTGTCTCCACAGCCTGTGACCTGTTTGATGTGCCCTGGGAAAGGGCCCATACCCAGAATGTTATTCTAAATGTTGTAGGCTACAGCTTCTGGCACTTCTGGTTTTATGTACATATATGGGCATACACACATGCATTTACAGTGTCTTTTCATGGGAATTACCTCATTAAGAGGTGAAGAGCACTTCTGTCACAGTCATCATCATATGTAGCTAGCAAACAAGGAGGGGAGGTGAAAGGAGGGCACAAAACTGTCATTGCTCTGATCTGCGAGGGATGTTAGGACTTTCCCCTGTCCTTCCTCTTTGTGCTTGTGCACCTCACCCTTCTGCAGTGGGGCTCTGCTCCTTGTGATGCTCTGCAAACCAGCCGCTTCCCCCGTTATTCATGAGCCTGAACTGGGTGACCCCGGAGCTTACTCTGAGGTGTGTGCTCTCAGAATGATTGTAGAACTCAATAGTGGGTTGTTGCGTGTAGTTGTAGATGATTGCAAGGAACTGGTAATAGTTGGGCTTGTTTTGAGGCTGTAGAGAAGAAAGCATGATCAACTTGTTTCAGTGATGTGTTTTCACATCTGCGGCATGGTTTAGGGATAAATCATGAGCTGCTGTGAAAACATGGTGATTGTGCAGAGCTGTCAGACAGAAACGTGCGAATTCCAGACCTGACTAAATATTTAGCTGTTGTGGTACCAAAAAAAAGCCTGTCCTTAAAAGTCACTTCTCAATCACTTGAGAATCAGGCGATGTTAAAATCAAAGTTGTATCATTGTGAGCACAAGAGAGTGGGGTTAGACCAGTGGTTTCAATTCTGGCATGTTTACAGTGTCTTTTCCACTATATGGGCAGGACAAGGTGCAAAATTCTTGCAAGCATGATGGCAATACGGTTTTCCTGCTTTTTATTTTTTAGGGTAAAGTCTGAACAGCCAAACCACTACAAGTGGGGCAGAGTGAAAAGCTACATCTCAGCTGCTTTGTACCTGCCTGTCCGTGCTGCACAACTTTGTCATTATCTCTAGCACTGTACAAGTGCCTGGTGTTTGGCATGGGCTCAAGTTCAAGCTCTTCCACTGCCAGCATATCTGTTTCTGTGGTGAGAGACTTGCGGATTGAACAAGAGCAAATAGAAAATAAGCTGCCCCAAAACTAAAGCACAATATCAATTTTTAAAGGAAGGTGCTAAAATGGACCAGTGGAACAGTTCCTTGATGCAATATATAAATTTAATTTGGTGTGTTTAAACATCTGAAAAGCTTTCCTGTGTAATTAATACAATTCCCTAGTAAAATTGCATCCAGCCAGTGACTTGCTCTTGTGCTTGCAGATGAGTGCAGCTGGAGTACACTCAGGCCACGTGGAATCTTTGCAGAATTTATCTTTCAGATTTTTACTGTAGATGTAAGGAACTCCAGTGAGTAACTTCCCTAGAGTTGGGATTTTTCTTGCAGAAAAAGCAAAAAGCATATTCTGACATAACGCTTCTAAATGTCAGATCCATGTCTGAATGAGGCAGTAGGCAGAGCTGTATGCTTCACCATGTTTTTAGTCTTGAAACCCTTTTCTGGGGTTATATTTTCCATAAGATGCCATCATAAAGCTGAAAACTGCAGAGGAAACTTCATCCTGAACAGTCAGTGACTGGCAAAGTTACAAGCAAATAAAAGCAGGGATCATGGTCAGTTGTGACTATAAAAGGTCCTGTTAACTTTGTGTTGTGGTTACATCACTATCTGCCCTCTCTGCCTCCTCCAAATAAAAGGCTGCTGTCCTGTCAAGCTGGGTTTGCCTCTGCACCTTTCCCAGCTTCCCTGTGGCTGCGGCACACAAGAATGTGGTGAACCAAGGCTCAGCGTTGCTGAAAGAGGGGGGGGTTGTCCTGCTGCTCACCTTCCCTGCTTCTCTTCTGTGTCTTCCCCTTTCTTGTGCTGCATTTGGAAGCTATTGGATCCCTCTGTGAACTGATGCAATTCAGTAACTCAGCAAAGCCAGGAGAGTTTTCTATGGAGTTAGGAGAACAAGGCGGCAGACAGAGGGGACTGAGTGCCAGAGCTTGCTTACGAAGGTGGGTGGGATTGCTGGGAGCAGGGTGAAGGGTGGAAGGAGGCAGGTTTCTTCTGCCAACAGCTGAGTCTGTCTTGAAGCTTCTAGTCTTTTTGTTTCCCTCCCCCGCCCCGCCTTTTCTGTTTTGAGTCACACATCCCTACTTTTTATTGTCCAAGAGAGCCTCTGGATATCTGGTGAGAGCTATTTCTTCTCATTGGTTTTGGTCTTGTTTGATTTAATCAGCTGTCTGGATTCCTGGGAGGTACCTGTGCAGAGCCCTCATGGGGAATAGGTCTTGCCCTCACCTTTAGCAGCTGCACTAATGGCTTGTGCTTGTGAGTCGCCTCATCCTTCTTGTTTGTCAGACCCAGCAGCCTCTGAGAAACACTGCACCCCATGCATCCATGTGGAAAACACCATACCACATGCAGATCAAATCAGGAAAGAGGATGATGGGTTTGTTAGGGTGTATTATGTGTCTGAAAATTAAAGTGTTTCCTGCTTAGCCCAGGAAACAGGCACGTTAGTGCAGTTGCCCTGATAATCTTCCCTTCGGAGACAAGCTCATGCATCTTACTATTTTGCTCATGTTCCACTTCTTCTATGAAGTGCATGCTTTAATTAAGAGAAATTGGGAAACACAAAAAAGATCTCTTACTGATTTCAGTTTAACTTTAATTTCCTCTTGCCAGGTATGTGGTGTTAATTTTTAACTTCCTGTACATTGAGGTATGTGTGTTTAGTGCCAAAATGGCAAGCCTGTATTGTCACAAGATCTTTAATTTTAATCCATCCAGTTCCCTGACGGTTTTTCACTGGCTTTCCAAAGGAAACAAAGCTTATGCAACTCTTCCGTCCGTGAGCTTTCTCCAAATAACTTTTGAACCTATCAGCTCATTACAGGCAAATTGGACAGAGGGACCAAAGCCACCCCTATATCAAGGTCTTAAAATTGTGTGAAAGCTGGTGGGTGATTAGGGAATAGTGCCCCACAGTGAAGAAAAAGCTGTAGTTTGAACTCAGCTGTTTTATTCTGCTGGCTTGCCCAAGGAGGGATATGTGCACAGGGGGGGAAGGAAGGCATTGGAGAGTATGTGGCAAGAGCTACAGTTATTATGAGAGGCAGGAGACTTCTTTATGGCTGAAAGAGAAAAATCAGTAGGAAAGCAGGCTTCATGGAGCAACTTGTTGAATTTAAATGAACATGAATGTCAGGAAGCCAATGTATTGGAACATTTTTTGCTATACCTTGTGCAGGTCGTTCGTCAATTAGCTTGAGATTTCTTACAGCTAAAGCAAATGCAAGTTTGGATGGGAAATGAGTCTTGCCTTTCTCTCTTGAAGGTTTTCAAACCATACCAGGCATCCCAGCATGACATGTGCCGATTCCACTCCGAGGACTACATAGACTTCCTGCAGAGAGTGAGTCCCAATAACATGCAGGGATTCACCAAGAGCCTCAATGCCTTCAACGTGGGCGATGACTGGTGAGTGCTCTGTGCTTCCTGCAAACCCACAGTCAGAAAAGGTGCTGCTGCATTGCTCATGTTCAGAGAACTCTTTTAGAATGTCCCATTTCTTATTTGCTCTTAACCAGAATGAGGTGCATGTCCCTCCTGTCTATATCAGATTACTGGAACCTCCTTGATTCCTTTCCCTTCTCTTTAGATCTTGCAGTCCTCTTTTTTAGATCTATATTTAAGCTGTAAGCTTGTGGGGTTAGAGACTGTATCTCTACTTGTTCTTGCAGAGTCTCCAATTCTTCTTGAATGTGCTAACTATATTTTTAAATAATTGCCTGTCATTTTAGCTGCCTTAATATGTGCATGTTAAATTCAAGACAGCTTCGAGAGGCTGATTTCCAGGTAGAACTAAGGAGATATTCGTGGTTTTGTACAAAACTACATGAGATCTTGTTGAGAATATTAAATTCCAGTCTTTAATGCTTGTGAGAGATTAAACTTGAAAGAAAATTATGGAAGGGCTCTGTGGGTGACCGAGGAAATAGCAATATGCCTTGTCTGGTTGAGGATTATAAGGGCTGTCAGAGTTAGATTGTTCTTACGTAGCCTGTGGCGGTGAAAGCTGTAAGTACTAGCATGGGAGGAGTTACATTAGCTAGAGAACAGTGTTATCCCAAGAAGATACTAGTATAGCCTGGTTTTTAATATTCAGGCTGAGAATCAGAAGACTGTTTGTAACCTTGCTGCTCTGATGATCAGAAACCATCTTCTTATCAGAAATGAAAGGGGAAATAAAACCCCATAGTCTTTAAGCCATTGCTTGTCCATGAATGAAATGTGTGACATGGTGCCAGCAAGCTGGTGACACAGGGGCTCCAGGTCCTGTGTTTCTGTACTCTCCTGGTGCCTGGACTGGCTCTGCGTGGTGGGATGGATCAGACCTCAGTGCTGTCTTAAGAGCAGTGTTCACCTCTGGTTGCAGTGTACTGCATGCTGGGCTGGGGACTGGTAGCAGGATCTTTCAGATACAACAAGGAGGGGAGAGTGCAGGAGCAGACCAGTCCTCCCCTCTCCTGATGCAGTGTCCTGCATCATGTCCTAGCTCTGGGCATATGTCAGCAGGGCTGCAGGACAGATGCTGGCACACGTTGTGAGCAGAGGAGCCTTTTCAGGACTAACTTGTAAGCTTTGGTAATCATTATCAAATTCACCGAGGTTCCCATTGTGTTTCCAGCCAGATTGCTCGCCTGCTGGTACTCATTGTGTTATAAGCAGGGTCAGAGTGACCCCAAATGAACTCTTTCACAGAGAATGAGTTTTGGTCTTGCTTAGGTCATGTCCCTGGACAGTTTTATTCCTAGCTTTGCTCTGGAGAAATGAGGAGGAATGAGAAGATGTTCTGTGTTTGAATCATGGTTTCTTTTTCAGCCCAGTGTTTCCAGGCCTCTTTGAATTTTGCTCTCGCTATACTGGGGCCTCCCTGCAGGGAGCAACACAGCTGAACAACAAGGTAACTGCGTTGATGTGCTTATCTTTTGAAACACAGGTGTAAGCCAACTGGTTTTCAATTTAAGGAGAACCTCATGGATTTGTTTTGTAAAACAACGTAGCAAGCACTGCTGTGTTGCAGTGTAAATACCTAGTACTGTAAGACTTAAGCTTGAGACCATTCTTGTACTGTCAGAGGCAACCATTTAGTAGATGTTTAATCTGGAGGGAGTCAGAGAGTACTAACGTTGCAAGTACTGAAGTCACAAAGTACCCTCAGCGCTGTAGAACAAACCTGGGGTCTTCAGTGAAACTGGCTGCTGGGTGACCTTGAGAGTGCTGCTAGGTCTCTCCTATGGAAATGCACTAAATGAGGCCATGCAGAAGGTCTGAAGAAGAGCATTCCTCAGGTGGGTATAAAAAAATCTACAGAGGTGTTAAGTCTTTTAGAGACCTGAGAAAGCTCTAATAAGGGTAAAGAACAAGTGCAGGAACAAATTGTATGTACCAGGTGCTCTGCCTGCTGGTGGCTGGAGGGGGAGCAGTGGTGGTGGGAGATGATCTTTTCTGGTCTAGTGGGGAATGTAGAGCACAGGACTAATCCAGTATGGACATGATGTAACCAAAACTTGGCTGGGCTAACGATGACGATGGAGCTTTGGAAAGGCCTCTGTAGGAAAAGGAAAGACGAGAAGGGTGTTTGAGCCACGGGGCTGGGGAGGTTGAAGCGGGTGCAAGGTTGTTGTTACCACATTGTCACCTTTAACTAAGTTATCTTTCCTTTCTTAGATCTGTGATATTGCAATAAACTGGGCAGGGGGCCTGCATCATGCCAAAAAGTTTGAGGTAATGAGGCAAATCTACATATTGGTCTGTCTTTTTGAGGCCCAGGGTATGTGTTGATCCTGTTCTAAAGCTGTTCTGTTTTCTCTCTCTTGCAGGCTTCTGGGTTTTGTTATGTTAACGACATAGTTATTGGCATCCTGGAGCTGCTCAAGTAAGGACATGGGGCAAATGCAGTACTGTCCTGGCTGGCATGTGGTTTCCCCCTGCTGCTTCACTGTTCTCTCTCTCTGTTTCCCCTCCTCGTTTGCCTTTCTAGAATCCACGAAGGCCAATAACTTGATTTTTTTTCTGGCCTCCTCTTCAGGCACAAGTAGGGGGGCTTGAGAATTGGAATATCTGACTCCAGTTTTGTTGCATGCATCTTAAGGGATACGGAAGAGTTCTTCAATTCCATTTCTCATCCATCTGTGAAATACTCATTTCAGGGTCTCCTGAGTCTCTGCGTTTTTGCCACAGCGAGCCTTTTGTAGGTAAATGCAAATTATGGCTCACTGAAGACAGTTAAATGACTCGAATCTTTCTTGACTTGCTTGAGTGGCTTAAGAACAGGACTTGAGCAACACATGGATGATCAAAGGACACTTGCTTTGAGTAGAAAAGAGTCAGATTTGGTTTTTTCTTTTTGGAAAATGAAAAATAAATTCAGAATGGGAGGAAGAGTTACAGAAATACCTTCTGTTTCTTGGATTAATCTGTGATTTTATTTTTTTTTTGGTACTCTCAAATGCCCTCCTTGTCACTGAATCTGAGGCAAGACGTTATGGAATTAAAAAAGATTTGGGGTTGACCAGACAATAGTTACATGACTGGTGGCAAGTTTACTCACTGTCAAAGTCACATTTATGGAATGCACTGGGGTTTCTTGTACCTCCTGCCTCTCGGCCAGTCTTCCCTGCTCTGTGTTTGGAACTTCAGGTCTTCACTGTGTATCTCTGCACAGCCATTTTCTAGTCTCACGAGTCCCATATGCCAGAGGCTTCAAATACAGGCCAGTTACCCCTCATGGGAGCTTATAATATGTCCCTCTTCTCTTGTTCTCTGTTTTCAGGAACCATTTCTGTAGCAGGTGGCTGTATACTTGAGTTTGCTTCCCACCATGGGAGTACTGTGGTGCCTCTGGTCTTAGAAGGTCCCTTTCTCCCTTTACCAGTGTGCAAGGGCTATGTGTATACATCCCCTTTTTCTCCTTGCTGTCATTTGTCTACAGGACGAGTAATCTGGGCTGCCTTAAATAATTTATGTCTCTCTTGGGAGACTGTGGCAAGGTACCGGTCTGCTAATCAGCATGGGTCAGCACCATCAACCAGTTTGATCAGATCACTGCAGACATGCTTAAAGCCATGGTTCCAAAGCAGATGGCACGAACCACATGCTCCTCCTCTCTGTTTCAATGTTGTCTTGTTTTTTCAGGCATCTCCCCAGTCCTCTAGGGTTTTGGTATGGATGCCAGATCCCCTGTTCTTTGGGGATGGACCAGATGCAGTATTTCCTTGTGAAAAGTTGGAGAAGTTCTTTCCAGCCAAGCAGGCAGCTCTAGGGATGGCTTGGGGCCATGTCTCCAGTGCTCAACAGCACATCAGCTTTGACCATTACCCCAGTGAATTTACTTGTAATGATTTCCCCTTCTTCACCCTCTGTCTGTGACCCAGCAGGCAGCTTCTCCAGTAAATGCAGTTCAGCCTGGTGTTCTTGGTGCTAGCCAGCTGGGACATAGTGCTGCCAGTACTCTGGTATGTGGAGGAAGTGAAGTGTTCCTACCTCCTCCTTGGCTAGCTTACCTTTAATTTCCTTTTATGATTAAAAATTGTTGGAGCTCTTAAAGATTAACTAACAGCATGTTGTTTGTAGAGGAATCAAAACCCATCAACTTTCTAATGCCCAGGTGGCTAAAACAGGTTCCCTTCATATGCTTTCCAAGACATTTCTGTCCCCATCTGAAAATCTTTTATTCTAATATCTATTTCCAAGCACATCAGAAGAAATTTTTTTAGTGATGGGGCATGTTTGACTGTATACAAATGTCTCGTATCTAAACCGTTTGATATGTCTCAGGTGGGAGAGGTGAGTTCTTTTGGCAAGTGGGCTTGTGGGTAGATGTCGGTGGTGGTTTTCAGAGTGCCAGGTGATACCAAGGCACAGGGGGAATAGTGAGGCTGGGTGCGGTGCAGACAGTAATGCTGTTTTTCCTCATGTATTCAATAGATATCATCCACGTGTTCTATATATTGATATTGATATCCATCATGGAGACGGTGTGCAGGAGGCTTTCTACTTGACGGACCGCGTCATGACGGTGTCATTTCATAAATATGGGAACTATTTCTTTCCTGGTACAGGTATGTATTTTCCCTTAGTGTGAACCTGGCCTTGCTTCAGAATCCTTTGAAAGCTCTGCTGGAGTATAAAAGTGTAAAATCATGAAATCAGAGCTGCAGAGAGAAATGATGGAAGAAAGGGCATGGAAAAGCAATTAGAGAGGAACAGAAGTATAGTTATTTGTAAGAAAGAGGGATTCTAGCTAGGTTAAGAGATCTCAACCCAGACCAGATCTGGTTTTTCCACACTCTGAAGTCTGAGAGCTGTTATGACTCTCCTGTCTTTCCCTGGCCAGGTGACATGTATGAAGTTGGTGCAGAGAGTGGTCGTTACTACTGTCTCAACGTGCCTTTACGAGATGGCATTGATGATCAAAGTAGGTGTTCCCTGCCATTTCCCCTTGCCCAGGCATTTGCTGGTCCTTATGCTCCAGAGCCATGACAAATCTACCTTTCTCTCCAAAGGTTATAAACACCTCTTCCAGCCAGTCATTAACCAGGTGGTAGATTACTATCAGCCCACCTGCATAGTACTGCAGGTAAGCAAGCAAGCCTCTGTGCACTTGTCCATCCCTTTCAGAGGCTGTAGGTTGGAGGGGGCAGCTATTGATGCATTGTGTTCTGTTCCCGGGGAATCAGGGTTGGTGTGTCCTAGCTGAGCTGCTGTCTATACCCTCTGGTGAATGAGGGTGGCCAAGGGGTGGGGATGCTGATGTGTGTCTGGAAAACAATGCCTCTGTAGCAAAAATTCAGTTGTTATTCTTCTCTTCCCCAGTGCGGTGCTGATTCTCTGGGTTGTGACCGTTTGGGTTGTTTTAACCTCAGTATAAGAGGACATGGGTAAGTACAGCAGGACTTGGGCAGAGCAATTAGTTGAAAGACCATCCTTCAGTCTGAAGGGCTCTAGTGAGTCCTCTGCTGTGAGGCTTGAGCTTTGACTTCGGCCTTCCAGCAGCACCAGCAGTTTTGGTTTGTTGTTTGTTTTTTTTAACTCTTGTGTGACAGGAGGGGGTCTCAGAATGAGGCCTTGTACAAGGTGCTTCAGAGCAGCGGTTCACAGAGTAGCGCATGGTTCAGGCTCCCTGCTTGGAAGCCCTGACCTTCAGGTGTATCACACCAGCTGCCGTGGTGTTTGCACGGTGGCATTTCTGACACATGAATGTGTGCTGCAGTTAACAGCTCTGGCACTTTTTTGTTTGGGGTTTGTAGGGAGTGCGTGGAGTATGTAAAGAGCTTCAACATCCCCTTGCTGGTACTGGGAGGAGGTGGTTACACAGTTCGCAATGTGGCACGATGCTGGTGAGTCTCTTATCTGCTTGTTGAAGGTCACCGGTTAAGCAGTTGCTGGGGCCTTTGTCCCTGCATGCACCATGTAGCTTTCTCTGGACTGAGATCATCTTATTGCATGTTTTCAGGACTTATGAAACATCATTGCTTGTAGATGAAGCAATTAGCGAAGAGCTCCCATACAGTGGTAAGTTGGAGTTCCGTTTTCCCCCCATTAGCTGAGCTAAAGTATTTGTTGTATCAGCTGAAGAACTACACTTCTGTTCTGCATTGACCAGAGGTAAGACCAGGGCCAAAGTGACTGCACTTTCTGATCTTAGAGATGGCCTTAGTTGTCTCCTACCACCCTGTTGTGGTTTAACCCCAGCCAGCAACTAAGCACCACGCAGGTGCTCACTCACTTCCCCCTCACCCAGTGGGATGAGGGGGAGAATTGGGAGAAAAAATGTAAAACTCTTGGGTTGAGATAAGAGCAGTGTAATAGGACAGAAAGGAAGAAAATAAAAATGATAATAATAACAATAATAAAATGACAATAATAATAATAAAAGAATTGGAATATACAAAACAAGTGATGCACAATGCAATTGCTCATCATATGCCTACTGATGCCCAGTTAGTTCCCAAGCAGCGATCCCCTCCCCAGCCCCACTCCCCTCAGTTTATATACTAGGCATGACATCACATGGTATGGAATACCCCTTTGGCCACTTTGGGTCAGCTGCCCTGGCTGTGTCCCCTCCCAACTTCTTGTGCCTCTCCAGCCTTCTTGCTGGCTGGGCATGAGAAGCTGAAAAATCCTTGAGTTCGTGTAAACACTACTTAGCAACAACTGAAAACATCAGTGTGTTATCAACATTCTTCTCTTACTAAATCTAAAACATAACACTATACCAGCTACTAGAAAAAAAATTAACTCTATCCCAGCTGAAACCAGGACACAGCCACCTGTAGACTTTGCTGGGCAGACATGCCCCTACTGTGTCATGTATCATTTAATTTGGATCATTTCCTATTCAGTGACCTGAGTGTTACTTTTGCTTGCTCTTTTGTTTCATATAATTCCTTGTGGTTGCAGAGCTGTACATCACTGTGCTTTTTAGGATCTGGTCACTCCTAGCATGGTGGGAGTGAACTCTGCTTTCTGCAGAGCAGTGCAGGCTGGCTCCCATGCCTCTGTGCTGTAACTCTCTTGCTCATTCCATCACAGAGTACTTTGAATACTTTGCTCCAGACTTCACCCTTCATCCTGATGTCAGTACGAGGATTGAAAATCAGAACTCCAGGCAGGTAAGTGCTTGTAGCCTTATTGCAATATCAGCTATGTACTTCCAAAACCCTGTGGTTGATGCTCTGTCCTGTGAAACCAGGTAGAGCCCAGGCAAAGAATTCTTGCAGGGTAGAAAACTGATGAAAAACAAGCAGAACCTTTCCTCTGGGATGTTGGAAAGTCTCATAGCATTTGAGAACCTTGCTGAGTTGTCTTACTGTTATTCTGTGTGCTTGAGTGTCAATGATTGAATTAACTTTCCCACCTCCTCTGCTCTGATAAATAGCTTTTTGCACAAATTTGTTTCTCGTGACCACTACATAGACAATGCAGGCAGGTAGCAGTGCTAACAATTGTGGCTCTGTGCAGACTGCCAGATCTCGCTGTGGTGATCCCTCTCTGTTTTTCCTATGTAGTACTTGGATCAGATCAGGCAGACGATATTTGAGAATCTGAAAATGCTGAACCATGCTCCCAGCGTGCAGATCCATGATGTCCCTTCTGACTTGCTCAGCTATGATCGCACAGATGAGCCTGATCCAGAGGAAAGAGGCTCTGAGGAAAACTACAGCAGGTACCAGATCTTGTTCTGGAGAAATGGGCTTCCCTTTCTGTCCCTGCTAGGATGGGCAGATGATACACTGGAGACAGTCTGTTTCCTAGAACAGATACTAAGTCACTTCTGAGTCTCTGGTTTTATCCAGGGAGCCTCTCCCTAGAACTGTGTCATCTATTCTCATAATATTTCATGGGGTATTTGGGTGCAGGGCATCTTCTGATCTTTGGCAGTGTGACCTGGGCATTCTTCTCTGGCTCCAAGGGTGTCAAGGCTCTCCTTGCTGATAGTGATTGTCTTTCCCCCAGGCCTGAAGCTGCCAACGAGTTTTATGACGGTGACCACGATAACGACAAAGAGAGTGACGTTGAGATCTGAGGGCTCTGATGTGGGGCTCTGGACTGTGGGGGGTCCCGCATTGGACATGGGTGCTTGGAGCAGATAACTGGGCCATGTAGGAGCCAGTTAGCCCTTCCTTCATATTTGATTGCATGCGGTGGCAGCAGAAACAACACTACTGCAAGCTTCCGCTACCTGGAGAGGCAGAGAGCAGTGAAATGTGTTCCTTACTTTCCACCATGTGTCATGGTTCCAGCTGTCAGCACTCTGGGAAATGGAAATTCAAGTAGGCTCCAATCTGTGCTGTGTGCTGGATGGCAGCTGTGCAGCTGCCTTCAGAGCCTGACCCATGCTGGTTCAATCACCTCCTGTAACTCCTGTGCAGGCTTCTGCCAGCAAGGTGGGAGCTGGAGCAGTTGTGCCTATGATCTCTGCCTCTCTTCAGCAGCAACACCTGATACATCGTACCCTGCCTGGCCCTCCACTCAGGTACCCAGTTGACTGTCCTCTGAAGCCTGCACTGAGAGTTGCTTCCTGATGTCCCTTCTAACCATCTGATGCTCCACAGCTCAAGGAAAACTATGCGAGAAGACAAGGCCAGCTGTGGAATAGGGGTCAGGAGTGTCCCTGGAGCAGGGAGCAGCTTGATGGAGCAGGATGGAAGAATGTATGCAGAGCACAGTTTTGTTCATTCCCCCCCACTCAGTTTTGTGTTCACAAATGAGTACTGCAACACTTTGCCAAGTTGGACCTAAATTCCCTGTTTTCTTTATTCTTCGAGAGGCTAAAATCACTGTGGAACAGAGGTTTGGCTGCCAAGGTCAGTACATAGTGTGTCTTGCACCTTTAATGTAGCTTCCAGCTGTGTTTTCCAAGTTCACACATGGCCCTTCTGTGTGTTAGCAAGAGATTTGGGCTGCTTGCTCGGAGTGGAAACCATTCCCTCTTGACTGTACCCAGGAGATGGCGCTCTGCTTGTGGGTGAGGGGAAGCTGCTTCCTCCAAGTCCTGTCGTCTTGCCCTCACACAGCAGAGATTTCTCTTGGCCATCCTTCAAATCCCAGACTTTGCTGCTCCTTCGCCGGAGTCATCACCTGGTACCTGTTGTGGTTTGGAGTGTGCCATTTGGGGAGGCGGGAGGGGTTTAGCCTCAGACTGTCTGTACTGTTCTGTTTGTTTACCAATGTCTTTAAACATTAAATGAAGAGGCAGTATTTTTCTTACCTGACCTGTTGTTCATCTCTTTAATGCTCACACCTTTTTGGCTCCTGTCCTCCCAAGGATTGAGAACGTGCCTATCATCTGTGGCAGAGCAGTGTCCTCTGCTGTCTGAATGGAGGGCATTCAGCTCCTCAGAGTATATGCTGGTGAGTTTTCAGCATCAGTGCACAATGAGGAGAGTGCCCTGAATTCCCTTACAAGAGGTCAGGTGGGCTGGCGGACACTCCTGCTTATGCCTCCAATTCCAGTTAGAAGCTTTGCAGGAAGCTGCAGAGCTGATTCAAGAAACCTTTCCTGCAACGGTTTTAAATACCATGGTTTCTTTGAGTTGCAGTTTCCATAGGAGTCTGTTCTTTGCAGTCTCACTTCCCTAAAGCCCTTGTTGGTGATTATTTTTCTTTGTTTCTATAGACCTGTCACTACCTCCCTCTTCGCTCCCCATCCCCACGTCCATGACACTTGTCCTTGATCAAATAAGCTCATGCTGGCCTGTATGGATTGACATTCTTCTTGTGTCTAGTCTCTGCCAATAAACCTGTGGAAAAATGGGAGAGGTAGAAAAGAAAAAGGTATCTAAGAGACACCAACTTGACCAGATCTGTTGATGTGTTCACAGGCAATGCTTATTCCTGTTAGGATGTTTGTACAACTGCCAGCCCAAGGCTTCAGATTTGTGGGGAGGAGGTAAAGCTTGGCCAGAAGTGAGCTACAGTTCATGTAGCTACAGTGCGAAGCAGGCAGTAAGTCAGTGTTACTCCCAGTACGTGTCCAGAGAAAGAAGTTATGGTAGAATTAGACTAGGCGCAGAGAGGGGTGATAGCACGGCTTCTGTATGAGGAATGACTTGATGGATGAGGGTTCTTAGCTGGGGTGAGAGAACTGAGCTGGGAAAGGATTTGTAAGGTCTGTAAACCCACAAATGTTGGAGAGGGTTTCTCCAACTATTTAGATATTAGAGGAGCATCAAATGAAACTAGCAAGGGGCCAGCTCAAAATAGAGGTTGCTTTGCACACACCTAGTTGAGCTGTGTAAGGTTTTGCCACCAGATAGTGTGAGTGTGGGTTCAAAAAGGGACTGGGGTGGGGGGGAATCAAAGTTGTTAACAAAGACGCTTCTGGGTGCAAATTGTTGGTGACTCTGTGAGTACGCTGGAGAAGTATTGCTGTGCGCTTTCCCTGGGCTTGTACCATTCCTGCATTGTTATTTGGCCACTGCAGAGTGGGCACTGGGCTAGATGGACCTTACACTGACCCCTCTTTGGTCAGCTGTATTTGTTTCTAGTATTCTGTAGCGGAGAAAAATATTCTTTGCAAATCAGAAGATGCAAAATGCTGCTCCAGTGACTAGCCAGACTTGTGAAAAAGAAATGCTTGTGTCCAAATAGAAAATAAACTTGTTTTATTCCAGCTTGCCATCTCTCCTGCTGCCAGTGAGCTGGCTTGTTCTCTCTGCTGCTGTCATCACTCACTACAGCAAAACCGATTTACAGGGGGAATCCAGGCTCCTACTTTGGGTAACAGGAAGTGTTTACTTTTGGAAAAAAAAGGGGATTCCCCCTTGTAATTATCTCTTACCTGTGAAGATGGGAATGACCTTACCTTGCAAACCCCACAGCCAGCTCCCCACCAGCACTGTCCAGGCTTTCTCTTTCCAGAGTGCTGCCCTGTCCTGTGTTTCAAAACAGGGCTGGAAATTTGGAGTATCATCTTACCTAGGTTTCTAAAGGTGGTTTTGTTTTTGTTATTTTGGGAAATAGCTAGAAAACAAGTTCAGTCTGTAGAGTTGTTTTTTTTTTCCTTATAGTTGTATTTTCCTACTGAAGCAGAGCTCTCAAAAATAAGAAACTGTGCACTATGCTTGCTATCTGATACTGCGGGGCTACGGGAGCCACGTTAGACCAGCGTTTATTCCTGGCATCGCCCAGTTATGGACACCAAAGTGCTGGGGAAAGACCAGGGTGAGCCTGACACTGCCAGCACCCTCCTAGATATCCCAGATAAGGTGCCAAACCTCCACCTCCTGATCTGTAGCTGGTGCCGAATGACTGGTAGGTTGCTCCCTAAAACACCGGATGGGCTGGCAACGGCTGAAACTAAATGAGGCCCGATTTTTAATTATCTGTAGGAAACATTTGAGAACACACACTTGCACACCTCTGTACAACAACGGTAGTTTCCAAGGCGCAGGACTGCGCCGAGCTGCAGTGATGGATGGGCAGCAGGGGTCGGGGAGGGTGAAAACGGTTTTGGGTGCTCTAGAGCGTGTTTTTTCCTCTCTTGCTGTTTTTTCATGCCTTTTTTTCCCTTGTCCCATAGCCCCTCCTGCCTGCGGACGACCCAGGGGATGCGCCCCTTACCCTGCGGGCGGGGCACACGGCGGGCTGGGCGGGGCCGGGAGGCGGCACCTCATGAATATTCATGTACGGCGTGACGCTGCCGGGGCGGCCTCATGGCGGCGGGGCAGGGCGCGGGTCTCGGGGCCGCGGAGCCGGTGTCCCGGTCCCTGGGCAGCGGGCAGAGCCGGCTTCTCCCGCCGGCTTCTCCCGCGCCTCCGGCTTTTAGAGGAGCGAACAAAAACTCGGGTTTTGTTTGGGTTTTCTTCTCCTGAATTATCTCTTGTCGGTACAAAACCACTTATTGTACCGTTTTGGGGGGGTTAGTTTAGGCTTAGTTGCTGCTTGGGTGCTTGAGGCTGGCCCCCGGGGCTTGGCAAACTGCGGCGCTGCTTTACTTTCCTTTCTGAAAAACAAAAAAACCTATATTTCCATTCTATGTTTTCACGTTTACCCTTTAATTTTGCATTTTCAGGAGACTCCAGAAATACCGAGTTTAGCCCTCGGTGTTGCTCGTTGTGGGTTAACGGCTCAGCCCGGGCTCCCAAGGCTCTTTGCCCATGAAAAGCCGGAGCAGGAGGTGTTCGTGCTCCTGTTACAGCACCCGGCTGATGGCTGCCCTGAAAATCTCTCCCTGGGAGTTCATAAAAACCCAAAGTGACGCTGGGGGAGTGTGTAGTACGCGAAGTTGTGCTTGTGCGTTTTAATAATGGAGCAATGCCGTTTATTTTCAGGTTTTGGTGAATGGACGCCAGAGTGTGGGATCCAAAGCGTTTCAGGAGCGCCTCTGTCATGGAAAGTGGAGAGGCAAAACCTGGCTCAGTGGGGACTAAGTAGGGTCCTGATTACAGGTCTGTGGTTTCTTTGTGTTTCCCCTTGTCCCTGGGGCGCTGGGCTTTTGGAGTTAATAAGCCTGTTTTGAAACTGCTGATTTTCTAGGCTGGCTGTTAAACCTTTGTCCCTTCTAAGAAAGGGAAGAAATGTTACCTCCTTCTCTAGTCTCCTGTTCAGCCTGTTAATTAGTGAAAAAATCTGTCTCTTGCAGTTTTCTCTTTGCTGCTGATATTATTATTATTATTATCCTCTGCCAAGGGTCCCAGCTCCTGAACTCAGATGGTGTTTGCACGATTTTGGGAGTGCAGTGGCCTTTACTGATTCCAGAGTGTGTGACTGAGATCGTAAAGTCTCTCTCCCAGTCCCTGATCCTGTTGGATTGGACAAAGGCTAACAATTACAGAGTAAATTTTCCTAACAGCACACAGAGGTGAATGATGCTGCCTTGTTTTTCCTCTCACTCAGAAGCCTTTGATGTGAGCCACAACTCCTGCCTTGGGGAGGATTTTTCTTTTTCTCCTCTCTACAGCGTAACAGGGGCTGGAAGGCAGGTTTCCTTCTTTCCTAATTTCATTTTCCAGGATGTGGAAAACAAACTTAAGCTCTTCTAGCCAATGCACAGCCCTGTTAGGTGACATCGGCGGTTGGGGAAGGCATGTTTTAAGTGTGTTTGGCCAACAGTTGTTAAAAATGCACCTTCTCCTATTGCAGACCCTTTGAGTAATGTCTGTACTGGGCGATGCTTTTCCCTTCCAGCTGCAAAAGCAGAGGTGAGAGAGGTTGGGGTGCTCGGGGGGCTGTGCAAGCCTCAAGGGGTACAGTGATGCCAGGAGAGCTTCAGTCCCCTGGCATCATTCAGCCCCAGCAGCCCTTCCTGGCCCCTCTGTTGTTCTTATTGTCTTTCTTGTCCCTTTTATTAGCTCGGATTGAAGGGAGACCTTTCCTTCCTCTTTAGTGCCTCAGGGGTTCACCTAGGGTATCTTGTGTTTGTTTAATTGCTTTTCATTTGCTGTGCTCCGTTTAAAACTTGTTGTACATCTTTGGATTTCTGTCAATAAGTTAAGTAGCATTTTATGGACTAAAATAAAGGAAGTCTCTAGGATTTCTACCCAGGAGTTAGATGTCCAGCAGACTGTCCTTGTAAACTATTGTCAGCCTTCAGCCTAGTGAAATGTTTAGCATATGTTTAATGGTAATGTAACTTAAATGCCACTTAAATATACAAGCTCTGCCCTTGTTTCTTGCTGCCTGGGGAGTAACTCCCAGCAGGTCATAAAAAGTATGCTCTGCTGTGCTCTACCCATTTAAAAGAATAAATAACCAGAACTGCCTTCCTTAGTGCCTACACAGGGCAAGCACCTGCAGCAGTAAAGGCATGGAGGCTTTTGGGCAGCTCCAGAGCCATGGGTAATTGTATTCAGGTCACCAAACCAATCCCCTGGTTAGTCCACAAGAGTCCATACTTGCTTAGTGTGACAAAACCTTTTCTGGATGGAGGCGGATGAAGTCAGTGTCCTGTATAAGCAGGTGTTATAACTAGCCAGGCAGCATATCTACAGAAATCAAATTGCCTTCAACTGGAGCTATATGTCTTTGAACACAGAGGTGTGTTGCTTTTTACTTTCTTGATCTCAGCATGGGCTACTGAGAGGTGTGTGGTGCAAGCAAACTCATTTACCAGCCATCATCAGCCTCAGGGTTTGTGGTCCTTGGTGGAGGCTGAACTACTGAGGACAATTTTGCTGGTATGGCATTTCTAATTCTGGTCCTAGGTTTTCCTATTAATGTGTGTTATTTTGTTAATTTGCCTTTGTGGTGTTTTGTAATTATTTTCCATTCGTAGCTCTGAGTACCTTTGTGTTTTGTTTGTTTGTTTTTTTAATGGCACGTGAACTGTACAATGCTTTCTTTGAAACCTCTTAAACAGCTTTGGAGGAGCAATTTGCTTAGGACAGGGTTTAGGGAAAAGAATAAAATGAACTTGCCTCAATGGGCTGAAAACAGGTTTTGGATAGAGCCACATCTCTGGTTTCTGTCAGAGTGGATTTTAGCTTTCTAATGAGACTAAAATCCGATGGGTATTTGATAAGCTTAATAGTAGTTGTATTTGCACCACACTTGTGTCATAGCTTGTGCTGGAAATGGTACTCTGCTTGCTGAACTTGTTCACCCCATGAGTGTAGGTGTTTAAAAAACGGTGTGCTTTTCTTCGACAGCTGGAGGTGAACCTGAGCAAGGAGAAGCAACAGCCTCTGAGGGAGAAGAATGTGGTGGTCTGGGGGAGGTGGTGTCCAGTGCTGTGAGTATTTCTGACCCTCGCTGCTGCCTCTGCGCTGGGGTCACCAGGAGCAGACACTCCAGGCTTTGCAGCGGCTGCAACACAAAACCTCCAACCTGGCTTTTATATATACAAATTTCAGAAGCTTTTTAAGTTAAAGCAGGACCTAAAACAATAGTCCCATGAATAAGTCAAAAGAAATGTACATACCTAGATAGCAAGTGTTAAACCTTACTGGCAGTAGTATATCACACCACAGTTCTTTATTTGGTTGCTTACTGAGGCCTTGCAGGAAGCTTTCAGGGAAGTGGTTGGTCAGGCAGTAATTAAGCCAATATTAAATTGTAATAAAGATTCAGCTGTCTGTTGTTTCACCATTTAGCCAACTTCCATAGCTTGGTTTTACAGGAACAGGGGGATCTATCGAGCTCTCCAGCCAGCAATGGCATCTTTTCTTTTAATACAACTTTTTGAAAGTTCCTGGAAATTCTTTTTGCTATTCAGACTAGAGTTTTTGCTATAAAGAAAACCATGATGCATTCTGAATGTTTTGAGTATCTCTTGGTATGTTTAAAAATGTCTCTTTGCAAGAGAAAAAATTAGTGAAACTCTAACTGCAGAAATATGTAGCTTTCATGTATTAAAAAAAGTAGTGCAATGACAGGCCAACATGCACATGTTTAATTTGGGGCAAAGCCCTCTGCTCTCTGCATGCAAATATCTTCTGCCCTAAACCTGAATAAGCCTTGACTGCTTTGACGTCCTTTCAAAAACTTGGCTAGAGATTTCCCACTAATTTCTGAGGCTGGGGACTAAGTTATGTGGCCACATTCTCTCTGAAGTTCACTTGATGCTTTTTTTTGATAGTCTCTCTGGGCAGACTGCAATGAGACATTGCATTTGAGAGCTGAGTGTTTCTACACCTACTTTCCTCATCCTCTCCACTTGACTGTTTTCAACTCCTCTGCCCCCTCATTACCCCATCTCTCCTTGATAAACACTGTCTGAACAGGTTGCAGCTCAGCCCTTTCTTCCTACCCTCGTGCCTGGCAGACAGTGCCCACCCTTGGTTTCCTCTTGCTGCTCCTGCCACCCCAGCACTTGGGGTCTTTGCTTTTTCATGGCAGCTGATAGCATTCACACATCTCTTCTGCAGTTCTTGGGGTTGATTTGCTGTCTTGGGATCCCGTAATTTTTTCTCAAGATTTCTGGAAAGTGTTAGGATTCATGATGCCAACATGGTGTTCTGTTTGTGGGGAAAAAAAATGTACCCTTTTCCCACCATGTCTTTTTGTGGCATCTCAGCTACTTAAATCCATGCTGAGATCTGTGTTTGGGATACAGCTGAGGAATTCCTGTGTGTATGGGCAGGCAGTTCATAGCAATATGAATATTGGCCGTATCAGAGCTCAGTCTGGTGGTTTTCTGCATAAGCAACCTTTTCTCCTGTCTTTTCTCTGTAAGATGCAATTAAGGTGGGATCGGTGTGAGTGCTAACAGCCTCGTTAGAGCTTTACCGAGGAGCTCTGGAGGGGAGAGGGCATGTATCTTCTTTTGTAAGTTTGGCAGCTGGCTGATTGCCTTCCTCACAGCTCCTATGGGATATGGAGCAGATGTGAGATCATCTGATGCCTGAAGGCTTTTGTGAATAACCAGGCAAGAGCCTTGTCCAGGGCCTGGAGACAATCAGCTCCAGCTTGTGCCATGTGGTGTCTGCCCAGGCACCTCAGGGCAGTTGTTGGTATGAGCAGGGAAGATGGTAGTGGAAGTTTCTTCCTCTTTAGTAAATCCTTACCATACCTACACTACCTTATTTTGCTTTTTCCCTGCTGTACATTTTCTGGTACTATCACCTCATCATCTACTTATCATGGGACTTACAAAATACTTTCCATCTCTTTGTCCAGCCCTGTGGGACTGCAACTGATCCTCTTTCACAGCAGGGATGAGCAGGCTCTGGAGGCATTGACTGAAGGAGCAGGAATAGATAAGGTGGAGCGATTCCAGCCTCTGTTGGATGGCCTGAAGAGTGGTGACTTGGGGGCACTGAAGGTACTTAATTCTTCAGGTTTTTGTGGATGAGGCACTTGGAGCCTAGTGCAGGAGCTGGAGATCTTGTAGCAGGATGGATCTGGTATGGATGAAATGCCTTTGGCTTTGCTGCTTTTTTCTGCTGCAGCTTTGTGTGTGCAGCTTTTCTGGCCTCCTTGTAAGTCCTAGCCACTGACTTCCAACTCATGGAAGAAGGTGTCTCTTAATTTTTTTTGTTTCATTGTTTTTAGGTGGCCTCTGTGCAGCTGATCAATACCACGATCTACCCTTATGAGCTGGACTTCAGACTTGACATTGATAGGGAGCTGATACATCCTGGATTTCAACACCTCCTTACAGTGAGGAGCACCTCACTTCTCAGCTTGATCTGGAAAGTGGAGGAGGCAGCCGGTGGTTCAAGCCTGGCTTTGGGATGGGGTGGGCAAGAGTGAGTCAAGACCCCGCTGTTGCCTGACTGACTCCAGAGCCCTCCTCCTGGGCAAGACTGAAACTACACCTTTCCATCCCTACCTCCAGAAGTGGCCCCTGCACTCTTTCCACTCAAAGATTAGTTCTGGTATCATTCCTTGGGGAACTAAGATGCCTCATCAGAAAGCAGAATGGGAATTTTAGGGTTGTTTTTTGACAGGAAAGTAAGAGGCTTTAAGGAGGAGGTGGCAGGAAGAAAGTCTGCTTGCATGCAAGTCTATGCCATTGTCTGGGACCTGCAACCCAAGACCTGAGGGTGGTCTCCTAAGGGCTCTGATGATGGCATGTATGTCTAGTGCTGCTTGGCTGTGGTCTGCAGCCAATTTGCTGCTGTTCTTACTCCAAATTATTCTTAAAAACATAAAAAATTGCCATGATCCTTCTTGTGTCTTTGCCTGCAAAGAGCAGAAAAGAGAAGATTCATAAATTCTGTCTTTCTCAGCTGTTCTGTTTTCCTTTTGTTAAAGTGGCTTTTTTTTTTTGTTGTGTGGAAGACTTGTAAGACTAATATTTTTAGGGGGAAGAGAGAAAAAAGGAGTATTATGCAGAGGATCCCCAGGGAAATCCTCATGCAAAAGGTGGTGCTCACCTAAAGGATTATTGAAAGCTTAAAGTTACTTGAAATTAGTTAAAAAAAAAAAAAGGTTAAATGGTCTTCAGTCCTTTGTTTTCCATATCTATGCACATAACCTCTCCATAGGTCTGCCACTGTGCTTAAATACATCAAGAATATAATCTGGCAAGTTTGTGTCTAGAGCAAGCTCTTTTTAAATTGTTACTTGTGTGCTTCCTTGTAAATGGCTGCAGAGTTCATGACTTTCTGTAGTCAGATGATTGTTGTGGATTTTTTTACATTTGTAGTTTATGCTCTCCCTTTTGAAAGAAGTTGACTTTCAGAAGTGGAAAGATACTGTGCCAAACCAAAACAGGACAAACCATTAGTTGGAAGAGAATAAAATAAAGCAACTAAAAGTCCCACATAAAGCAAAGATGAAGGAATTTTTTGGAAGATCTAAGAACAGCTGAGGTAATTGCCACCTTCTAGTGACTGCTGAGCTCTCTGAAAGTTGTTTTCTGAACTCATTCAGGAGTTGTTCCTGGGTGAAGGGCAGTAAAGGTTGCTGCCAGCAGGAGTGGTGAGCTTGCTGCTGCCTGTGTGAGCAGAGAAGGAACCTGTACTGCAGGGCCTGAGGATAAAGGTTAGTTTAGAGGAGAAATAGCTGATAGCCAGCAATAGGGGAGATGCTAGTCAAAAAGCTGAGGGTTGCCTAGTATGGAGTCTACTTGCCATTGATGTCTTGATGCTTTATTGCTTCTAGCAGAGATTCAGAGAAATTAGAGACCTCATGTTATCTAAAAAGCAAGCTTGTTATTTGAAAGAACTTAAAGTAGGGGTTCAGACTAAATGGTTGATTACTTGGTCTACCTGAATGTCCGGACCCATATCCTGGCTGTGACAGTGACTGAAAGCTGGTGCCTGGGGAAGTATATGAGAAAGGGGAAGCATCTTCTGGCCTCCAACCTCATGTTGCTCCAAGACTGAGTCAGGTGTAGTTTCAACGTACCTGGTAGCCCTGAGTGGATTTGTTTTCCATAAATCTGCCTGGTCCCTCCTTGAAGGTGTATCATCTCTGAGCATCTGTAAGATCCCTGGAGCAGGAGAGCCTCAGCTCCACTGCCCTTCATGTGAAGAGCTCCCTCTTACCATAGAGTCATAGAATGTCTCAAGTTGGAAGGGACCCGTAAGGATCATCAAGTCCAATTCCCATTCAAAACTCTTGTTTGTTTTGAACCTGATCCGTGATCTTGTGGGATGGGTCCAGTCTTGTTTCAATAGATGGTGAACAGCAGAATCCTCCCCATCCTTTCCATACCCCTACAATTCATCATTTTAAACCTCTGTTGTTCCTCCCCTTCACTGTCCCTCTACCTGGAGAAGTCCTAGTTTACTTGTTTGTCCTGCATGGAGAAGCCGTTCCGCATTTTCCTCATTCATGTTCTCTGAAATCTTGAAAAGTTACAATTGGGCATGTTTATGAAAACTCAGTGACAAATATGTCATTGTGAGACCTTTCCTTATTTGAATCCAGGAGCTTGCAGGAATATTAATGCTTTGTTGCTTTGTCGCCTTCTGCTGCAGACCTCTCTACTATAAGCTGATTGATGAATGTGTCTCCCCAGTCGTACAAAAATGGAGCTGACCCCAACTTCAGGTGCAAGCACCTTGACATGAACCCTGAGCGGTTGATAGGTAAATGCTTTCACTGATTATAGCTCTGCTAAAACCAGCCCCGTCAGATCATGGTCCTAGAGCAAACCCTTTTACTTCATCCCTGTATTCACTGGAGCTGTTGGCTGTCAGAGTTTCTTGCTTCTTTCTCTCCATGTCTTTCCTTAACCTGAGCTGTCTTGTTGTGTTTGTTTTCAGCACGCCTGCTCCCATCCCCATGCTGCACATGGGATGGGGATTGAGGCTGATCTTCACTACTTCATTTAGAGCACATCTCCCATTGCTTGAGCACAGCGATTCTACCCGTATGAAATCCAGAATGGGCAGGGAGTGCTACCAGGATCCAGTGGTCTGTAGTGACAGCAGCTTCCAGAAGAAACCATTATTCTGTGGTGTCCTCCCTAAGAGAGGGGCATGTCAGTCTTCAGGCAGAGGTTCTGCAGTAGCAGATGGGGTTTCTCCAGCAAGGGCAGAGCACAGCCCTGCAGTGGGTGGCATGGGACATTGTGCAGCTTGTGAGTGTATTGGAGAAGGAAAAGGGGAGAGTGTTTACATCAGCTCTTTTCTTAATAGTATTTCCCTTCCTTTTCTTTTTAGATAACTCAATTGATAAAACCAAGGTGAAGAAAATTGAAGCAGAGTAGTGGAACTGGAGACAAAGGTTTTTTGCTGATGTGGTTAGGTAACAAGTTAGCAGGGATCAGACTAAAGCCTGTTTTGCCTGTTGCTGGACTACAAGTGCTGCCACTCACTTCTGCCTAATTCATTACCGCTGTACATATTGTGCTTGATCTTTCTGACGGGGCATATGCTTACATCTTAATTAAAAAAAAACACCAAAACAACAGGTTGCACAGTGAGGGAAAACAACATTTGAGCTGTGGGTGTGAGTCTCCCCTACCTCTTGAACTTGCAGGCAGTCAGATAGTCCCCTGCAGTTTCTGTCTGGTGTGAAATAATGGAAGCTGTAATGGGGTGGAATTGAAAAATGCTATTCCTGTCACTGTGGCAAGAAGCTGCCTCCAGACTGTGCCATATCTGTAGTGTGAATCCCTCCCAGTAAGAAAGGTGTTGCTGCCTGTGCTTCAGTGTGAATGTGTGCCTTGGGAAACTTGGGGCCAACACTGCTGGACTGCAGATGGGACTGTTAGGGGGTTTTTTTGCCTCTTGGGTTAGGCAGAGGCATGAATCTTTATCTCTGATTGTGACTGGAGTACTGCATGAGAGCTGCATGGTCGAGGTTTTGAGAGCTTTTTAGGAAAAGCAAGGAATCCCCCCCATCCCTATATATACACATACTCCTTGTACGTCCTTGCTCAGCTGATATGTTTGTTGCCTCTGCAGCTGGACTCGGAACTGACTGCATGGAACAGCTGCAAATTGAAATGAAGGTGGCGAAAAGGGACTTTGAGGAGAAACTACTCGATGCACGTGGTGGGAAGGAGATGCCGGACCTGGGGAAGCAGCAGATGACTGCGGAGAAGTAGGAGCTGGCAAGCAAAGTCTCCCATCTGAGTGAGGAGGTCCATCTCGGGCTGAGACATGGGCTGATGAGTTGGGGATGGGGTACAGCAGGCCAGAGACTGTGTTCTCCTCAAAGAGCTCTGTCCCTTTCTGGGGAGAGGTGACATTGGAAGGAGGAGAAACAATGAGAGGCTTCCCTGGTCAGAGAACTGGGGAGTGCCCTCAGGAGGCTTTGAGTCACTTTTGCTAAAACAGGTAGAGACAGGAGAAAGATGAAGAGGCTGAATAACACTGGTGCTGCTTCTGGCTGCTCCCTGCTTTTTTTTTCTCTTGGCAGTATCCATAGACCTGAGGCCAGCAGGATCAGTCCACAGACGACTACTTTAATTTCTCCCTAGCCCAAAAGTAGCCTCTGGGTCAGCTTTCCTTGAGCTGATTCTTGCCCTGCTCTTCTGTTCTACAGGCAGCTCTGGTGTTTTGTTGTGCTCTAAAGAGGTTTGAATCTTAGATTTAGTATGAATAGAGTTGTCTGCCTTAAATCTTTCCTTCTGTACTTTGTCCAGCATTCCCCTCACATGCTTCTTTCAGCTCAGCATCACCCAGATCTGCCCTGGAGTGACCTGGCTTATGTAGGACTGACCCTGCAGTGTCTTAGCTTTTCCCTGGACACAAAGACTCCCCCTGTAAGTTGCTAAGCATATTCTTAGAGTTGCTTTTTTGTATTAACAGAAGTGTGGGGCAGGAAAAAGCAGAAATATTGCAATCTGTGTTGTTCAGGATGCTCAGTGTTAGCTGGCGTCCTCAGTTCACGTAATCTATTGTTGCACTGAGTGCCATGCTCTGCCTGGAAGCCCAGGCAGTCTGTGCATACTTGGCTTTGCTCTCTGGAGAGCAACACTGAATAGTTAAGGAAACTTTCAGATTTGGATGTGGACATTTCTGCTCTTAAGTCCCTTGTCTGATAGAATAGAAAATGCATGCTGGTTTGTTGGAGTTTTTTAAACGTATTGAGAAATTTACCCCTGAGAAAAACAACAGAGAGCAAGATAAAGCTTCTTGCAATTGTTTACACAAAACAGTCTTGAAATCAAAATTCTGTAGAAATACCTTTCTTGGTGACAATGTGCTTTTGTAAGCAGCTCCTCTGATGGAGGAGAGGAAGAAAAACATCTCTGTTATTGAGCCTTCTCCCTCTGGCTGTTTACCTTTGACAAGATGAGAGAGCACAGATCGAAGGGATGGAAACATTCAACTAATTTTGCTGCAGTTCTTGGGCTGCTTGGGAGTTGGGCAGTGGGTTGTGGTAGCTCCTGCTCTGCCTCTCCCCCATCACAAGGCAGGAGTGAGCTGACCACAGGACACTTCTCCTTTCTGAGATACTGGATACTGTGGGCAAGAGATTTCATCTCACCAGGCTTGTCCTGCCTGATGCCAGTGTCAGGTCAAAAGCTGAGAGGAGGGGAGGGCACATGATGAAAAGGGGTCATGCAGCACAAGAGAAGGTCTGTCAGGGACTCTGAGGTGTCAAACAGTGAGGGCTACAGGCTGACCGTGGTGTGGACACACCACCATAAGAGCACAGGCTCTGGCTGTCCTGCAGATCCACAGACTTTCTACCCTGTTTATCATCACTGACACTAGGATGGCGCAAACAGAAAATTGGGGTTTTCTTTCTATGCTACACAGTGCATCTCTAGCACCCTGTTTGATCTTCATGGACATAGATTGCTGGGACACTTACATATATGTTTGCCAGCTTCCTAACAGTTGAGACAGACCAAATAAACCATAACACATCTCTGAGGCCTGTTTCAACCACTGACTTTTGGACATGGGAGCAGACTCTGCTTCACTATTGTGCTTCCAGCTGTAGCTTGCTCACCAGACCTCTTCTGAGGTCACCCTGGTGCAGGAATGCATCTTTCCCTCTATCAGCTCATGGCAGGAGGGTGTCAAGTCCCCAAGTGATGATACAGGTTACCTGTTACGCTGCCTTTTGCTCATTTTTCATTGACAAGGGAAGTTGGCAGCATCTTGTGAGGAGAAGGATGGGGATTTGAGATAAACTTGATTGTTTGCAACGTGCTTCAGGGTAGTACCCTGTTTGCTCTGGGCAGCTGAATTATGAGCTGACCACTGGCATGTTCTTGTTTCTGCTTCAGATGGAGAGGCTGAAAGAACACCTTGAAGAGGCACCAAGAGAGAAATGGCTTCAGGCTCTGCTTCCCTGCCTGCAGCTTCGCTTCCAGGTGCTGCAGGGAACATCCAGCCACAACCACCCATGCACTACCAGAGACTGTTTCTGGAGACATCCCACCAGCTCCCCTGCACCCAGAGTGTTCTGGCATCCCACCACCTCCATGAGGAATGGGCATTCCCCCTCCTGCCCTTGGCTTCGAATCTGGGGGAGCCTGTGCATGGGGATCATCTCCAAAGAAGATTCTCAACCAGCGAACAATGGTGAAGACCACATTGGACTAAGGTAGGACCTACATTTTAAAGGCCACCTTACACCTTGTTCTTTCACTCCAGCAAGTTCGTCCTTTCCCTTGTCTCATCTCATCACCCTGGCTGAGGGGTTTCAGGGCCCTGCTTGCTGTACTCCATAGAGAAGCCAATTTTCAGCAGAAGGAGGTGATTTCACCTTTGCCTTTGTGTGCAGAGAGAGGGCAGGGCAGAGCACCTGAAGGGACCTGAAGTGCTTGGTCCTCCAGAAACTGTGTGGGAGGCCTGGCTTGCAGCATGCTGGTACATGCTTTCCTCTGCCACCTTTGAAGGCTCGGGTGGATTGGAAGGTCTTCATCACTGAGCTGAGGTGTTTCTCCTGTGTAAAGTGGCTTAATAAGCTGGCAGTCCTTAGTAAGATCTTGTGAAGACCTAGAGGCCCTTGCAGATGATGAGGTCCTCTTTAGCTGTGAGAGGAGGGAGGGATCTCCTGGCTAAGCCATGGCTGCGTGATGCCTGCATCTTGGTGTGACTCACAAGCAGCCTGCGAGGCAGAGCCAGGTTGGCTGTAGGCAGGGTTTGTGGCAGTGGCAGGACCTTGCACGGTGTGGTGTGCTGCTCACCACTCTGCGGTCTGTGCCTTGCACCCTCTTGAGTATGGATGCCGTGCTTTGTGCTTTCTTTCTGCACCATCTCTCTCGCTTCTGCTCGATTGCCTGTCCCAACAGTTGTGTTAAGAGTAGGCTGCCTGGCAGAGATGTCTGCTTGGCACTGCGTACAGCCAGTTACTGCTCTTCTCACTGGTTTTCTTTCCTCTCCTTCCTTCTGCATTACCAGGTAGATGTTGGGGCTCTCAGCCCCCATCTCTGAGTGCTCTTTGTAACATCTCTCTCGCTATCAGACATTTGTGCAGCTATTTCCCTGCCTTTGCACTCAAGGCAGGAAAGCAGCAGGATCCAGGCGCTGCGTGCGTGCATCACCTGGGGAGAGGGAGCGCTCCTGGTCCCACGATCTCTACCCTTCGCTCTGCCTGCAGCTCCAGAGCATGCCCTTTGGAGAGGACTTCCCCTGTCCTAAGGACAGGGTTTGAGACTGTGTTATGACCCAGTGATTAGGGCAAGCCCTGCAGATGTGCAATAGAGGGGATGTGTGAATAGGAGGGCTTGGAAGGCAATGTACACAGACATGGCCAACCTCATGTTCCTTAAAAGGGTGGAACGGGAGAAAAGTCTCATGCCTTTGAGCTTTTTATCTTGCTCAGGGGAAGAGAACTGCATGTTCATCAGAGAAATCTGTTCTTCCCCAGAGTGTATGGCTCTTTTTCGGTGCTCTGCCCAGGGCCAGCCCTGACCCTTCTGGCTGCTGAAGGGCACAGCCCAGGACCTGCCTTGGTGGTGGCACCAGCTGCAGGGACAGCAAGGTTTCACTCTAAGGCCATTTTCCGCTGCTTTTTTTTTTTTGTCAGCAGCTCCCTGCTCTGCTGCTGGTACTGGAAGCATCTGCTTTGTGTTTCCCCTGCTACTTTTGGTGTCTAAGTTGAAGGCTGTTTTCTGAATGTACTGATTTATGGTTGGGGTTCTTTTTAATTTTTCCCTAAGTTTCATAGTTTGAGGTGTCCCTAGGACTTGGGAGCCTGGCAAGCAGGTTCCTACTGGGACAGAAGTGACTTGCATGAGGGAAAGCATGCAGGTGTTCTCTGAAGATCTGTGTTGCTGTACCGTAAGCCGCAGGTGTTTAGGACAGGCAGGGTGGCACTCGATGTTTCTGCAGCAGAGTCGGGGGTGCTTGTCCCGATGGTGATGCTATTTACGTTTTGGAGAGGTGAAAACCTTCGACTGTGGGCAAATCGGGTCACGGTGCAGAGCTGCTTTTGGACACCAGGTGGCACATGGATCTCTTGGTTTTGCATGGAGGCTTTGTGTCCCTGCTGCAGCCTGTGTTTACAGCCCTGCTTCAGAGACTCGTCAGAGTGAACTTCCAGTCCTGGGAGTGGATTTTGGGGGGAGTAGAGTCCTGGCTGTGCTCTCGGAGAGGTCAGGGGGTGCCAGTGCAATGCAGCAGCTGCAGAGCCCGTCAGAGGCCGGTTTCTGGCACGACTGTCACCAGGCTGCAGAGGAGCAGAGTTTGCTCGCTGCTGCACACGCATGCCTTTCCTGCGTCAGCTTCTGCAGCGGCCCAGCAATTCCTCTGCCACCAAGAGTGTGGCCAGCTTGGCGACCACAGCTGTGGCCAGGGTGGCCCTGCCCTTTCTCTGGACTAACTCCAGGGGCAGAACAGCCCTGTCACCCCGAGATCCCCTTCGTGGGAGGAATTCATTTTCTCTCTTAATTGCTTGTAAAGAATCACATAAAACAAATTTCTGTCTTGTTTTTGAGGTTGCTCAAAGCCAGGTCTAACCTGGCCTTGAAGACTTTGAGGGATGGGGCATCCATGACTCTCTGGGCAACCTTTTCCAGTGTCTCACCACCCTTATTGTAAAACATTTCTTCCTTGTGTTCAGTTTAGATCTAACCACTTCCAGTT